ATTTCCCATCTATAATTCCCTAACTTCCCAGCATCTGTACCTCAGCCTTCCTAATCTATGTCTTTTCTTCTTCCCTTTCTTCCCTCCCTCCTTCCCTTCCTTTCTAGACACAGGCAATCATCAATTCCAGCTGAACTGTCCTTTATAGCTTTAAGAATCTACTCACTGAGATGTCCACCAACAATCCCCCATTTCAGGCTTTTCTGTGATGAAGAAGAGAACAGGCATCCCTTTAGCCAATATTTTTGGCATCCAATTCATACTGCACACAAGACCTCTTGACACATTTTCAAACACCCCCTGTCTCATGTCTGTCTTCCAGACTCTACTTTCTGCCTGAAATGGCCTGTCACCACTCTCCTCCTGGGAAGGCCATAACTTTCTTTTAAAATCTAGCTCAAATTCAAGGCACATTCTCTAGGCATTTAGTCACTCTCGTCTCCACACTCAGGACTCATAATAAATACCTTTATTACCATGGGTATTATCCACTGTGACTGTTGTGAAGCACCCTCACCAATCAGACACTAGGTCACTATAAAGTAGAGACCATGTCCTACTTATCTCTGTATCCCAGCATCCAGCATAATATCCAGCCCAGTGAAGTTAACACATATATTTGCTAAATATAAGAAACTGGATGATGTCTTAAGTCAAAGAATAAAGACTATTCCCCTGGAAGCGCTTCTTATCCAATGACCTACCCAATGTCTTTATTCAACAAACATTTTATGAATTTCCCCATTATCCATAAAACACTTGCACACAGTATTTAACAAAGTGTTGATGATGGCCTATCTACAAAATCAACCTGATATATATCACTCACCATTATTTTCAGAAAACATTCAATTGTCTGTAGTTCTCTGGATTCCTCTCTTACTCCTCTCTGCCTGGAAGTTTTTCTCCCTGTCTACCTAGAAAATTTCTATTTATTCTCTAACTTTTGTCTGGTTGCTGTCTCCTTCGTAAAGCCAGCTCTGACTTCTTTCTTTTCTGGTCTTCCTAGACCCAAGAACACCTCCCTCACTGCACTTATTACTTCCTGCTGGGTCAGTTTTTTCTTTATTTGTTTCCACCACTATTTTGTAAACTCCTTAAGTATCAAACCCTGTTGTGTTTATTTCTGTGTTCCCGATGCTCAGCCTCAGGGCCTAGAGTGGGGGAAGCAGGAGAGGGAAGAGAAACAGTAGAAGTAGCTGATGTTTATGCGAACCTCCATTACCAAGCATTGTTCCTAGCACATCACACCAATTACTTCTTTAAGTACCTCTCTCTATTATGCCTATTTCGTGGAAAAACCAAGATAACAGAAAGATTAAAAACTTTCAAATCAGGTCCCAAATCTAGTAAATAAAGAAGTCTGGGAAAAAAAAAAAGCAAAAGTCTGAGATCTTAATCCAGGCCTTATGGCTACCCTTTGGTCTACTGCCTTTCTGGAGTGGTGTCAGCAAACTTTATCTGCCAAGAGCCAGTTGGTAAATATTTTAGATTTTGTGGGCCATTTAGACTCTGTCACAACTACTTAAATCTGTCATTGCAGTGCAAAAGCAGCCATAGCCCATATAGATGGCTGTATTCCAGGAAGATTTTATTTTTTAAAAAAACAGGTGGCAAGTCTGATGAAGTCTATAGGCCAATTTGTTCATCTAGAAATTCAACAAATATTCATCAAATTAAATTGGGTCTAACAGTGTTGAGAACCAAAACCTTATCCCTGCCCTCAAAAGATTTCCTTATCTTATCCTATAGCTGCCAGCAATTGTAGCAATTGCCTGCCATTAGTAGGCAAATCCACTGTAGGCAGTCAAAACCCAGTTGCAGAACTGAAGTGAATGGGGCGGATGTGGGGCCCTGATCTTTCCGCTAAGTTCTCATCCCCAACTTTACCTCACAAAGAGGCTACTGGATCTTAGCTAGATGTCCCAGCTCCCACCACTGATGTCTCACAAATAGACAACCTTTACTTCTTAGAAGCCACTCCAAGGCTCTAGCTCCAACATTTGCCTGGCTTCTGTCTCAGGTTTTTTATGTTAATAGTATAAAACCAGTAGACAAACAGAAAAGGCCTCCATGCTTAAGTGAGCCACACGTGTCAACCTAAGCTGTGAAGACTCCCTGGTGTTTCAGAATGTGGTTCCACAGCAGTCATGAGCTCTGCTCTAACCTAAATTCTTTTATATAAGAAGTATGATAATCAGAAAAATGAGTATGAAAAAAGAAAGCATAAGAAAAAAGAGATGCTTACTGAATTGTGAATTTCTTTTTTTTTCACTTCAGCTCAATGACAAAAACGGCACCATACAAAAGAGCCATTTCAATTGACATATACAGACTACTGTATGTAAAAGATAGCTAATAAAAACTTACTGTATAGCACAGGGTACTCTCAGTGCTCTGTAATGTACTATATGGGAATGGAGTCTAGAAGAGAGTGGATATATGTATATGCCTGGTTGATTCATTTTGATATACAGCAGAAACAAACAACACTGTAAATCAAGTATATAGTCCAATTAAAAATTACTTTAAAAAAAAAGGAACCATTTGATTTGCTGAACCAGTATTGCTTTAGATTTCACAATATTTTAACATCCTATTGGAATTGAGCAGAATCCTTCAGTAGCCTCCTCCCCCTGCCCCTTAGTACAAAAACAANCAATATTGTAAAGTAATTAGCCTCCAACTAATAAAAAAAATAAAATAAAAAAAAAGAAATGGTTAATCATTAGGGCAATAGAATCACAGACTCAGTGTCTGATGCACTTTCCTGAGTTGTTCTATAGATACTATCTATAACTTCCACTAGAGATAAAAGCTAACTGCATGATGACCAAATTGTAGCCATGACATAAACTTAAGCAGTACTGAATCTATGGCTAGCACAATTCCAAGAACTCTTCTCAAGAGAATGGGATTACCATTATTGCTCATAATAATCTATATCTTTGTGAGCAACAATTGTAGCTCTCTTGGCCTATATATGTTAATGGACAATTAAAATTGTCTGCAAAGATATGCTACAAACCCATGGTGACAATGTCTACTCTGTAGAATAAGGCATCCTGTGTCAGCATGAAAAAGTTATAGAAGAAAGACCTTCACCCCTAATATCGTAGAAATGGAATGATGTTCTGACAAGCAGGGATTTGCAAGCAGCTCTTTACAGAAGACCACCCTCGAGAGGAATCCCCTGCTCTTGTCACTTCAGGAAAGCTATGTTATAACAAACTTTTAAACCAGGCACCCCATGCTCTATTCATCTCCAACCCAAGGACATCTTGCAAATCTTTTAATCACACAAAATCTTGCCTAATTTGTCACTTCTTTGTCTAAGAAGTAGAAATAAAGACTAGTTAACAGATGACCAGATCTCTTCCCTAGTTTCCCATTCAGTAACCTCCTGAACAAATTGTGTGAACAAGATCACATCTAGAGAGAGATCACAAGGTGTCAACAAGCCTGCACACAGTGCGGAATGGCAATGACTCTAACCCCCTATCTCAGTGATTAACTGGGATTGCTTTTGTTTCCCTTTAAAAGCTTTCATGGCCGAACAGAATCTTCAGAGGTGGTTTTCGGGGGATGCTGAGTCCACCATCTCCCAGGATTGCTGGCATTCTAATTAAAGCCATCTTTCTACCGACATTTGTGAGTACGTAATTGATTTTGTAAGTGTCGAGCAGCAGGACCAGATTCACTGGATCTGTTCAGTTCAGTCGTTCAGTCATGTCGGACTCTTTGCAACCCCATGGACTGCAGCACGCCAGCCCTCCCTGTCTATCACCAACTCCCAGAGCTTACTCAAACTCATGTCCATCAAGTCGGTGATACCATCCAACCATCTCATCCTTTGTCGTACCCTTCTCCTTGCATCTTCAATCTTTCCAAGTATCAGGGTCTTTTCAAATGAGTCAGTTCTTCACATCTAGTGGCCAAAGTATTGGAACTTCAGCTTCAGCATCAGTTCTTCCAATGAATATTCAAGACTGATTTCTTTTAGGATGGACTGGTTGGATCTCCTTGCTGTCCAAGGAACTCTCAAGAATCTTCTCCAACACCACAGTTCAAAAGCATCAATTCTTCGGTGCTCAGCTTTCTTTGTAGTCCAATTCTCACATCCATATATCACTACTGGGAAAACCATAGCTTTGACTAGACGGACCTTTGTTGGCAAAGTAATGTCTCTCTGCTTTTTAATATGCTGTTTAGGTTGGTCAGAGCTTTCCTCCCAAGGAGCAAGCAACTTTTAATTTCATGGCAGCAGTCACCATCTGCAGTGATTTTGGAGCCCAAAAAATAAAGTCTCTGTTTCCACTGTTTCCCCATCTATTTGCCATGAAGTGATGGGACCAGATGCCACAATTTTAGTTTTCTGAATGTTGAGTTTTAAGCCAACTTTTTCACTCTCCTCTTTCACTTTCATCAAGAGGCCCTTTAGTTCTTCTTTGCTTTCTACTGGATAACACTATGAATTACATGTCCTGATATCCATTATCTTCAAAACAGGCAATCACAAAACTAGAAACAGGGTATACTAACTGCATGACAAGGGTTATATATGTTTCTCATGGTTATTCAGATCCTGATTTAATTCAAGTGAGAAATAATTTGTTGTTGAAATTCACTGAAAAAGGTAACATAACTTTTTCTAGGTGCCACAAGATGCTTCCTATAAAAATTTTAAAATACCAAAACAAACTATAAATTTACATTTAATATATTATTAGATTATCACTTTGGTTTCTGATCCCTAAAATGAGTTGGGCTCACATTTGAAAAAATGCACGATGCTTCCAGTGAATTTTCCCTGACCATTATAATTCTGTGGTTGGCATAGGCTAAAGCAGGAGAATTACAATGGTGAATTGGGAACTTCTTGAGGGCAAGAGTGTGTGTTATTCACCTTTGTCTCACAAGAAAATCCAGCATATAGCAAATCAGTAAGAATGAATTTAATGAAGCCAAGAATCTAGATAATTAAGTTTACCGAAATACATACATTTTCCAAATTCCCTCAAGCATGCTTCAAAATCAGTAAAAATCCATGGGGCACGGAAACTTTCCACCTGGGGGTGGGGGAACAACACATGCTCTATTTTCTGCAGCAGACTCACCATCTTGAGTGTTTGGACTGAGAATTTGGGTCTTGAGTTCCTGCAGGCTAATTCCCAGACATTTGCAGATCTCCTCAGGGCTGTAGGGTTCAGGATGAAGGGCGTCCTCTGTGATCAAAAGCATTTCTTCCAGACTGATCCCCAGTTTGGCCTGCACCTCCTCTAGCCGCAGCACTTCTTTCCATGGCAAGCTTTTGTGCTTAGCCAGGAGCTGCAAATTCAAACCAAGACATATGGTTAGTTTTCATCCTGGAAATTGATATACACTATTTTAATGAGCAAAATTCAACTTTCAGCTTTTTTTTTCCCATTCAACCTATTCACAATTCCCACCACTGCTTGAAAATGAACTCTGAGTTCAGATGTTTGAAATTAAACATGCTTGTGTGACACTCACAGGCTAATTAGGTATTTTTCCTAAAAAAAAAAAATAATAATAATCCCCCACTGATTTTTTTTGCCTGTCACCACTTTTCCTCAGAGCTATTTCTTTGAATAATTTTGTCAGTTGGTCCCTATTCAGTTCATCCCCCAAACACTGCTCTCTATAAAGTCTACAGAAAACTACTCAAATCTCACACATGACCTGAGTCCTGAGGTAGACACTGAATGCCTGATTTCATTAGAGAACTTCCTGTTTACCACATGCCTCTTTGAAATGGCTAACGAATTTAAGTATCTAGCATTTGGAGTCAAGTCCCAGATTTTAAATGAAAACCTCATTGGTGACCTTATGAAAAACCATTTCATTAGGTCGTTGGTAGTAGTACAGCTCTATTTTTCTCCAGCCTCAAGAAAAGGGTCTGGCTTCCAGTTATATCCTGAGTCACCCCCTCAATCCGCTGGGGAAAGTGAGTATAATCCAAACTTTTGTAGCCAGGTCCACTCACGGGAACCACACTCCAGAATGTGTGTCCTTCATTCTCCTCAAACCACTGACTGAGCCCTGCAGAGCAGGTGACAGTCAAGATAATGAAGGTATCTCTCACCCTGGAGGTCTATAAAATTCATTCCCAGGGTGTGAGGACCACAGGTACAGACAATGCAAACAGCAAAAAGGAGCAAGCAAGAGAAGGGAAATGTGCATCTGATTTACTCTTCTATTATGATGATGATTTGATTTTCTTTCTTTTTGACAGGAAGCAGATTTACCAAAAGACCATTATATTTTGGTTAGGGCCACTCAGTTCTGAAGAATGTTAATAACAGTGTTTCTTATATTCATTAATCCTCTTTTTAAAACTGTGGCTCATACATTTGAAAGGAGTTAATGATTTTAAAGCAGAACTGGAGAAGGGGACCATAAAATCACATGTTTCTACTCAATTATTTCACAGAACATGGCGCCATTTTCAAAAGCAAGGACACAAACTAAGACCTTTCTTCTGACCTTGTTTGCTTAGCACATTTAATGTTTCTTAGCAGTACTGAACTGACTGACACCTCCACAGACGGATTCATTCACTCATTAAACTCATTCATTCGTGGTCCCAATTGGGTTATTTTTGGAATACCCAATGTATTCCAAAAATAATTTCAGAAAACTTATAGACATACATAAAACAAAAGAAAAACATACAACATATTTATTTTATACAGAAATAGAGCTAAAGTGGATGATCTAGAATTATGCTTTCTCAAAACACAGATTCAAATCCAACTGAGATAAGCAATGAAGTTAAGAAATTCACACTTGTATGATGCCATATGATTTAAATGTGATTTTTACTTCTTTTCACCTTTGACAACTCTGAGAAAGGTATTACCTTATTTAAGAGATGAGTGACTTACCCAAAGTCACCTAGCTAGTAAGAACTGAATTGGGAATTTATCCCACATCCTGCACCTCTTTCTTGCTTCCCCAAGGTCACATTCCTAATGGGCTATGCTTGATATCTATGTCACACTACTCATATGAGTTCAAATCACCACTCAAGTCTTAGAAATGGTTTCTAAACACAAACTAAGATTTGTGTTAGAAGTGAACATTGCAATGATTAAAGACACTTTGATGAGTTCCTTCTAAAATAAGAAGGAAATGTGGGGGGGGGGAAATCAAAGAAAGATCCCTAAGTGGTGAGAATGGGCTCTTCCTAAGAACCCTTCAGTACACACCATCTCCAAGTTCCAAATCCTGGTGTCACTTCAACAAATTACATTGCTTCAGGCACTTGGTCCCAGGAAACTGTCCCAGGACTGTGTGGGGAGAAAGTCTGCAAAGTTGTTTTCAAAGGCTGCCTTTCTGTGTGCCTTTGTTCCACAGACAGAGACACTAGCAATATCCCAGTTTGCTGTTGGGCCCACTTAACCCTCAGCTGGAGGGTCCACAGAGCCAGTTCACTGTGTATTTCGATTAACTCTACCACACGCCCTCAGTGACAGCTGCACAGCCAGGAGGCCCTGAGTAGTCTACTACATTGTAGGAGTCAAACAGGAAAGCCGCCTAAACCCGTTGAAATTTGGCTCAGGAAACGTAAAGATGACTTGCAGATGAGGGAAGTGGGTGGGTAAGATCTGTTGCCCAAACACAGAACTTCATGAAGGAATTTGCCACTCACAGCCCGGGTGCCTGGCCTTACTTCACATTTGTGAAGCAGGGCTAGGGGTCATTTTGTGACAAGTTCCTCACTCAGCAGCAGGCTGGGGATATCAGAGAAAGCAGTTCTTTGCCAGCATCTACCATTTTCTTTTCACTATTTCAGATTCCATTCCTGGGAGGTTCCTGAGCCTGGCTGATGCTCTGTGGAGAAGAAAGCAGTCTGTGAATATTCTGTCCACAGTCATGCAAAGAGTGCTGAGACATAAATAGTGCTGAGACCCTGTCTTAGGCTGATTTCTCTTGGAAGCAGGCTCTGAGACAAGAATTTGTGAGGAGAAGATGACACAGAGAAGTTTTAGCAGAGGAGTGGAAACGAGACAGGAAGAGAAGCCAATACAAAGAGCAATGAATGATGAGGGAGTATGTGAGGCTGGGCCTGCTGGGCCCTCTGGGACCTGTATGTATCCAGCTCAGATGTGTCCTACTCTGACCAGAAAGCTCAGGTATTTATCCCCTAACTCTCATCTACCATTGATGGAGGGCTGATTCCAAGGGTGTTAGCTCCCCAGACTTACAGGTTGTCCCACATGCAAAATCAGCACTCTCCTCCAACTGAAAAACATCCTCAGTCCGGGAGGCTTCCTGGGGCTTCCAGTAAGAGGGTGTGGTAGGAAAGTGCTAACATATGGACCCTAACTCAGGAGCCTATCTGTAAGAACCCACCTCTCTCTGACTTTCTCATTACATTTTGCAGTATTAACAAATCAATGGGGAAAGTACCAAGTCTTTCTCCTCATTAGGTCATCAAAGGATAAAATTTCAAATCCCTTCTCTGACAAGTTATTTTCCACACAACAAAAGCAGCTGTGTTGTTGGTGGTTTGGGTTCTATAAATCACACATGCTTATTTTTAAATTTGAAGAAACACATAACAGTTGGAGGATTTTAAAAAAAAATGATGAAGTAAATCATCTGTAATCATCCCAATAAGATAACCATCAATTTCCCATCTTACATCCTATGATACATTTTTATGCATACTTCATGCATGCCTATACACATATAGTTTGATATAAACGGGATTATACATAACTTTTTATTGTGGATACTTTTTTTTTTGCTATCTTCCCCTCACCCTCTTCCAGCTATATGGAGACATCCCCGGGTGACTTCCGTGCCCATGTTGAGTCTGTAACCATCATGAACACATTCACAATGTTGACCTTCCTCAGTGTTAGTTATTCCCACTCTCCATGTTCTCCATATTAGTTTGCAGGCCACAGAATAAGTTTGAAGAAATCTGCAAAACTGTGCAGAATGACTCTGCTACAATCCTCACTGTACGCTCAGCACAGTCTATCTTTTTTCTAAGGCATCCTCAAGCCTGGTGCTCTGGAGCTCATGCATGCCCAACCCCTAAGGGGCACAATGCAAAAAGAAGGCTGGACCCCTGCATTTACCTAGAACAAGTCACAAACCACTTTGACTGGAAAGTCCCTATTGTAAAATGGGATACAGAATAGCTACCTCATAAGCTACAGTAAAGATTAAATAATGTCTCTCTGGTTATACCTTCCCCACAGGACACCTTTTCCTAGGCCATCAAACATATACAGGTGTTTCCACTCATCAAATTCTTCTAACTGAAGCTGCTGCTCTTCGTTTCTTCTCTCTGTCTGCCAACTAAAACCAGGGACCCAGGTCACCACTTCTGAGCCCTCCGTGGCCACTCTCACTGGTGAAGATGGCTTCCGAGAGGTGGTTCTTATCTCCAAAAGAACTTCCAAAGCCACGGATTTCTCAGCCCTCTTATTCCTTCATAAATTGGTGGCTTCTGGGATTCTTTACTACCTACCTTCTTCACATTCCCTGTGGCACTGAATTTTCCCGGCTTCCCTCTCACCTCTCTGGTCCTTACATTTCCACCCATGACTCAGTTTTCTCCTTTTGTTGTTACTAAAGATATCTCCCAAGTTTAACCCCCCAGCCTTCTGATTTTCTCTTGTCACCTTCTCTCCAAACTCCATTCTAGGTATAGCAAACTGAACTCAGTCCTTAGTCTCAACTATTATCTCAAAACAAATATACCTGAAGGTTTTGCCCAAGCCAAGAGAAACATGCCAAGCTCCAATTTCTAACCACTTGTAAGAAAACACAGGCAAGTGTCATCACCTCCCACTTTCCTACCTTCCACCCTATGTTCCCCATACCTATGAGTTGCAGCACTATGCTTTCCATCCATCACTTCAGCTTAAAACTACAGCCCTTTTCAACTCAACACTTAGCCTTCACTTACACACAACTGCATGCAATGCATGTTCGCTCCTGTGAATGAAGCACTCACGGCTCATGACTGCATGCAGCTCACAGTCAACCCAAGGAGACAGATGTCAAGTAATAATTATACAGTGAAGAACTTCCTCCATGTGATAAACTGCTATAGTGGAAAAATATAGGATGTGACAAGAGCATATAAAAGGACATTTAACTTAATGGAAGTGGGGAGGGTGGTCAGGGAAAACTTCCTCAAAGTAATAGCATTTATACCAAAAGGAAGACAGAAACCCAGTCACAGCCTTATACCTGACTTTTCACTAGGTCCAGTCAGAGCTTCTTTCCTTTTGCATCCCTCTCTTGTGATCCCATCCCACTGACACTTTAAGACTTACTACTCTTCAACCAAGTAAAAGTTCCTTGGCCAACCTAATGTCTCTAGAATATGTTGTTAATATTAGCAGCTCTCACTGCTTCCAGGACCAAGTCTGGGTGATCTTCAGCATGGCACTGAAGACCCTGCTACACCTGGTTCCACCGACACATAGACCCTATTCCCAGTGTGTGCATGCCCTGCCCAGCGGCCGGGACTCACTGTCCTGGGAATACTCCATGCCAGCGTCCTGGCAGAGTGAGTTCGACTAAATCAACAGGACGAGTGAAACTGGCTACATTCCTGAGTGTTTGGTTTTTCTCCACTCAGATTCCAAAAAAACTGCAGAAGCCCTGAAAATGTTATGCCCACTTCTCACCACACGAAGAATAAGCTCCATATTGACCACTAAGTGGCAGAAGCTAAAAACTACTGAATGAGTGATGGCCACTGACAAAACAGGCTCTGTGGGAAAAAAAAGTCACACTGTAAATTTTCCTTGAAGTGTCAAAGGACTGCATGAAACCTTCTTCATTGCTTCACATGATGCCACAAGAAGCTCAGGGTATGCAAAATGCCAACAGTATAATTTCCCTTCCTTCCAGCATCACACATTTTGTCCCTCAATATAATTAAGGGATACTCTCTTGTAATAGACATAAAGCATTTCTGGAAAAGTTTAAGCCACTGAATATGTATAAAATATGAAAAAATTTTTGCTCACTAAAGATTTCTGGTTACTTTGTTAATTTAAGAACATTAAAATGTGCTTCACTTAAAAGAATCATTTACGCAAGTTATAATTATAAATCTCTATTGTGTTTGCCTTGAAATGTTTTAAATTTCAGTTGAAATGCCTCTAAAGACTCTAACTTTAAGTGCATCTGCATTAATTAGTTTTGGGAAGCTGTTAGAAGAAGAGCAGGGAGGAACAGAAAGAGAGAAGGAAGACGTAAGAACAGAAGAAACTGTGAACATTAAAGCAAAACAAAGAAAAACCATCTTTATTGGTTTAGTGTCCTTTCCTGTGCTATGGAGACACATAAAGGTATTCATTTTTCAAAAAGGGATCTTAGGAAAATAGGAGGGAAAAAATAAGCATTACTAATTACAGTTTTGCCATGTGGAGCTCTACCTAATCAGTCTCATTTTCAAAGCTATCTTGATTTATCATTTCTCCACTGACCCTTCCTTTTTATTGTCTGAAAGCAGAAAGTTTACTCAGATTAAGAAAAGCTTCTTTACTTTTTTAACATGAGAGTTTATTTCCTGATTTAATGAGACCATTTCCAAATAAAAATTATACTCATTCATATGTTGCTGAAAGTGGAAAGATGGCACCATATTATAAGGAAAACATGCTTAGTCGAATTCCAGTCTACATTCACTAGGCATGAGCATATTCTTAACATCAAGATCTATCTGCATAGCTTATATTAGCTGTTTTCTATACTAGCAATAAATTTTATCTTTATTCCTCTTTTGTACATATATATAATCTTAGATTCTCATGACTTGCAGCAACATAATTTACAAAATATTCTGCATCTTGATAAAGCCCTTCAATTTTCTTTCCTCCACATTTTAAAAGAGAGAAAAATTCAGAGTACTTAAAATAATGAGTTTTATCTACATTAGTTGGGAGCAGTATGTGGCAGAAAATCAGTTTCACTGACTAAAGTCCCTCTAAAATGCACATGGCGTTACACAGTTAAACTCAGAAGACAGCCTCAGGAACAGAAGGTTCTGCAGTAGATTAAGGTTTTCAGCTACCGTTTACAAAGGAGAAGCCCTTTTTCTATTAACTGCAAAAAGACATCCCCCCACATCCCATTCTGACAACTTTTCACTACAGAGATTCAGCACCACAATTTTATTTCTCTTTTTCTTCTATATCTTTGGAAAAGAGTCATTACAACATGAACCCACTTCACATATCTTGTACTTGTTTTGGCTCTCCTATGGATCTCATAGATGATAAACTCTGAAAACAATGTTGTGTATGTTTGAAGTCTCCTCAGGAAGGCAGCACTTACTCATCTATCTCAAAAAGTCAACAGGAATAAGCCCTTAAACAAATAAGACACTAATTTCTTCCATCTCCTGAAAGAAGAGGCTTGCCCTAAAAAGGGAAAAATAAAGTTCACTGAAGTCTGTGACACTGAAAGGTTAACTGCACTACTTCTCATATATGCACTAATCAGAAGAGTTTAATAGTAAAACATTTCTCACTAAAGGCATTCAGCAAATACTTCCTAAGTAGATTTGAGACTTGACTGGCAAGTGTCTTCTAAACTTGGGAACAGAGAACACAAACCTTGTGGTTTGTGTTTCTCTAGTAGATACCAAGCCTGCATTTTTTGAGGGACCAATGATGGCCAATGGTGCATGTAAGAGGACCAAGGATTGAGGCTATCATCACTTTTGTTGAAGAAACACGATTAGTTATGGTCATCTCCCAACAATCGCCTCCAACTTAGCTTTCTCCACCCATATACCTAACCTATGGCCTGTGTTTCACAGATATAAGTTGAGGTATCATCATCTCCCCAGTGCCATGCTAGAAGACTCAACTGTGAAGTTCAAGTAACTTCTAAATAGCTAGATGTTGCAGGGCATACCTATAGGTTTATGTATGTCCTGAGTTGGAAATCAAATTGCTCTATACTAAAAAAAACTTCAGTTATAATATTACTGCTGTCAGAATGTTGCCCTAAATTTTAGAGAAAGAGACAAAATAATAGGGAACAAAGAGAAAAAGAACAAGAGAAAACCTACTTCAAGTTTCACTAATTTGCCAAGTCCATACCTTTGCAGCCAGCCGACATTCCATCACCCTGATGTTGAAATGAGAAGTTGCTGCCTTATTCATTTCCACACAACTGTTGGCAATCACAAACACTGCTCCACTTGGGAGTTTCACATCAGTTGCCCTCAGAGGACTAAATTCTATCAACTTGGCCTATTGGGAAAAAAATGACAGGTGAGATGTAAAGTACAGAATTCAAAAACTGCTTAAACATTTATGATTTACCTTAGTAAAAATTTTTCCCAAAAATGCATTCATTTATCAATTCAAATATTTTTAATCTTTATTTTCAACTGGAGAATAATTGCTTTACAATGCTGTGTTGGTTTCTGCCATACAACAACGAGAACCAGCTCTAAGTATACACACATCCCCTCCCTCTATTGACTTCCAAACACTCTAGTAGGCACTGGAGACACAAGAGTGAACAAGACAGACACTGTACCTGCCCTCATAGATACTACAGTCTAGTGGGAAAAGCAGTCAAGTACTCAAACACACTGCCACATTGTGCTACAATGGTAGGCAAGGACAGGAAGTTACAAAGACACATAGTTGTGGCACTTCATTAGATATAGCCTAGTGTAGGCCCCTCTAAAAAAAAAAGGAAATCTGAGTCTTAAAGGATGAACAAAAGTACAACAGACAGAGGATTTGTTTACCCAAATAGAATGTCAAGAAAAGGAAAGAGTATATAAAAGTTCAAAGGCCAAAAACAACATAAGGTGTTAATAGTTTTGGGTATTGCAATTTAGCTATAGCTTGGAGGTTGAGGGGTGAGGCATGGTGAGATGATAGAATTGGAGGGCTGGTAAACCAACTGTCAGATTATGAAGTGCTTTGCAAACCCAAAGAATTTGGACTTTGTTAAGAATCTACCCCTAACTTTTATATTAACAACAGGACTCTTGCCATCATGTCTACTTGTCAGGTCTCATCCAAAACACCCAGAGTATTTTCTTAGCATTAAACCAGGTTTCCTCATGTCTCCTGTCTTTGGCTTAGGGGAATCAACAACAAATACTCTTAATAGGAAGAAATCCAGGTATTCTTGGAAAATAGCCAAGCCTGTAGGAATCCTAAGAAAAGATTTTTTTTAAATGTATGTTTCTATTTTGGAAATGGGCAGTTTATGGCAACTACCAAAACCTCTGTTCTGCCTATGGGAATTATAGCCTAGCCAAGGGGAAGTAGTATTGGCTAAGGAATTCATTCTTGGCTTCCTGTCAGCATTCTTCTCCCTACCACTAAAGCCCCAAAAATGTTGACAGAGAAAAATGATACCATAGAGTAAATCATAAAAAAGAGGGGTTGTGAATATATGTGGCAAGAGAACTAACATTGGGGTTTAAAACCAACCAGAGATTATGAAAACGCCATGAGATGAAGTGATTTGGGACAAGAGCGGGAAAAGAAGTCCCAGTAACTAACGAGTTGAGAAACTGCATACTAATAATGAATTAGAAGGAGGAAAAAACCCTAAACATGAGAGGAAAAGAGACTTGAGGTACAATTCTGAAAGCTTAAGGGAGAGGTGATCAACATAAAATGGAGTAGGTGAATTGGTAACAAACCTTGAATTACAAAGGAGTTAAGAAATATCATCCTAAAATACAGCCTAATAGAACAGGATGCCCAGAAACAAACTGAGGATCTATCTGCATGAACTTTCCCAAGCTGACATTTCCAAATAGTTAAACGTCACCTACAGTTCCTTCTTCTGCAAGAAATGATATGGACTGGTCCATCCCTCCTCCTTCAGTGCCAATGTAACGTTCACTCTTGGCACAGATTTCTGCAAGCTCCACCTGGAAAAGTAAAATTGATTTGCACTGTGAGTACATCATAATCTGTTGCTCATTCATTTTCCACTCCAGACATGACAGATGGGTTTGAATTCCAGGGCAGTTCTGATCCACTGATAGTAGCTGCCTAGAGCATTGATTAACAAAAATCTGAGGATACTCAAGTTCCTTATGTAATATGTCAAAGCACTTGCATATAACCTATGCACATCATCTCCTACACTTTAGATCATTTCTAAAATACTTATAATACCTAGAATACTCATAATACCTATAAGAGAATGTAGATGCTATGTAAATAGTTGTAAATAAAATGTCATGTGAATAGTTGCTAGTGCCCAGCAAATTCAAGTTTTGCTTTGGGGAAATTTTTCGAAATATTTTTGGAATATTTTTGATCCATGGTTGGTTGAATCTGCAGATGCAGAACCTGAATACATAAAGAGACTGACTGTATTTGCTATCCCTAAAAGATTCCTCAGAGCAAGCAGTTTTTACCATCTTTTTATTTGCCAGTTTAGAGAGGGATGGAGCATCATCAAAAAATCTCATATGGGCACTCATTCATTTCTGCCTCAGCTTTCTTTGTCTTCCAACAGTGTACTACTGCACAGTCTCCCCACAGCCAAAGTGAGGTCACCCAACTTTATTTTCCAATCCAAAAGTAATGCTGCTCTATGGCATTTCTATTAAACATAAGAATCAGGACCAGCATCATCTCATCAAACACATCTTCCTCCAATCAAGATGACGAGGCCCAATAAATGAACAAATTTCTAATCCAAACTGGAAATGTCAAAATATCTGTTTAAGAATCGTGGGTGGCTTCCTATTGATTAATAAAATAAGTTCATATTCCTCAATGTGGCATTTCAAAGCCTTCCAAAATATGCAACCAATCTGTACATCAAATTGTATTATCTACCACTCTTTTCCAATTATATTTGTCTCCATGATTGTCTCACACATTTACGTAACCTGGCATTATTTCCTGTCTTCTCTCATATAAATCCTATTGCCATTCAATATCCAGCTTATTGGCTACCTACTATGGGCAAGTCACTGGACTGGCCGACTAGCCATTCAAATCTTCCTCCATCATACAGTCTTCCTTCAATACTGTTCCCATTATGGCATCCCGTTTCTCTACATCCCTACAATACTGATAGTATCATCCACTTACTCTATTATTCATTCATTCATTCATTCAGTTTTTCCTTCTAAGACTTAATTCAAGCATTTATTTCTCACCTATTTCACTGGAAGTTTCTCCTAAAGTGATCATTCTAAAGCACTGCTATAATCATCTCTTGCTTGCTTGGTTGCCAGTGCCTTGATAATCGTACTTCTCATCGCGGTACACAACATCTCTAATGACTTATCCCTTGCTCACATCTCCAGCCTGCTCTCTTACCATTAACCTCATAAACCCTCGACTCAGACCAGGGTTCTTTTCTGTTCTCCATCACACCCAGACTCCCTCAGTGCGTTTTACAGTGTGGTTTTCTATCCTCACTCTACTCAAGCGTCACCTCTCCCTGAAGCCCTTGCCACCACCGAAATGCACACATCTACCATACAATCCCTCTTCTTCTCTCCCTGTATAAAACTCTATGCCCATTTACCAAACCATGCTGTAAGTATGGCTTTCCTTGCATCTTTGTCCATCAGTCTATGGGAGGCCACGCAGTGCTCAGACCAGAATCCACTTAACAAACACAACTGAATCACATAGTATTCATTATTACTCTTTAATAGTGTCAGGTTTCAATCACACCTATTAATATTTACCCCAGAAAATTGCCAGTCTTGTGAGAAACGGATAGAATCAGTATTTATTCTGTGTTCCCTACCTCATACAATCCTAAGCACATACAAAATACTCAATAAGCACCTGCTGCTTTCACTTTCTGAGACTAGCTGCCCAAGCATCATCTGATAGATCCTGTGTCATATTCCTTGCTGGATTCACTAATGCTAACTGCCTCATGACATGAGGTAAGCTTGGTGTTTTGACATAACGCACATTGTGTGTGGCCTGATGAACACATCAGAGATGGCAATGTTCCATAATAAGCACATTTTTTAAAAACTAGTAACAAACAGGTCAAAACACTTGGATTTTAAAATATAAAGAAATAATATACCTAGGAGAAGTATATGCATGATTCTATGAGGACTAAGGAGACATGGGTCCCTACATAAGTGACAGGGGCCAGTGTGAAAAATTGCCTTCCCACAACAGCAATGCCAGGTGGCGCAAGTGGTAAAGAACCTACCTGTCAATGCAAGAGATACAAGAGACACAGGCCCAAACACTGGGTTGGGAAGATCCCCTGGAGAAGGGCATGGCAGCCCTCTCCAGCATTCTTACTTGGAGAATCCCATGGACAGAGGAGCCTGGCAGGCTACAATCCATAGGGTTGGACATGACTGAAGCAACTTAGCATGCACAGTCACTTTTCTTATAAAACAGCAGTCATATTTACATGCTAAGTTCCTGGCATTATCTCTTTTGTGAACATTATCTCCTTGAGGTCTCCAAACAACCCTCTTATCCTCATTATACAGATGAGGGAAAAGAGACTTGCAGACACAGACAGTGGGGAAGCCAGGATTTGAATTCCACGTGCCCTAACTCCAAAGTTTCTGTTATTTTACAATGGACTTTAATTACACCCCTACCCCTTGCCAAATAATATACCCAAATAACATAATCTATTTTTTCTACTATTTCAAAGAGATATGAAATGATAAGTGAGATCCTCAAATTTTAAGTATTCTCCTTCTTAAGGGAAAAGACACTAAAGCATCAAGAAGTATGCTTATTGTTTTTAAAAAATCTCTGAATGTGTGGCAGCAACTGAATACTTCAATGGAAATATGCTAATTTTTGCAGACTATCTATCTCAAGATTCAGAGGGACCCAGGACTCCCCAGCATCTCTGTGTCAAGAAGAGTCCAACAGCAAGGTTCTGGACATCCCAATACTTTGCTGCTACTTCTCATGCTGAACTCTAACATGTGTATCTCATTACTAGACAGACAATAACCAAGAGTTTTAATGGAGGAAAACAAAAAGAAAGTGAAGATAAGAAATTTGAAAGATGAAAGAAAGGATTACTGACTTTATAGTCCCCCCATAATGCATGAAATAGAGGAAAGAAACCAGTATCAGAAGCCTCAAGCCTTGGTTAGAGCCCCAACTCTCCTGCCAACTTGACATATGTGACCCTAGACAGATGGATTAACTTTTCTGAGTTTCCTAGTGACCCTAGGAGAACCAGTTCAACAGTAAGGAGTAATGCAACTCAAGACAAACAAGAGAGTTTGTATTCCATTTAAAGCATTCCAATCTAAAATTTTTTGAGAGGGAGATGGGACACGGAGAGGGCAATCCCTGCTTGCCAAACAAAACATGCCTGTAGTATACACTTTAACTACAGGCTCAAAGGCTGGCTTTCCCAGTGGCCCTTGCCCTTTACCTCCATACTAAAAGCAAAAAGGTCAAATACTAAATGGCTATGAGATGTGAAGAAACTAGAAACAAAAGGCTTTTTTGGTTGGTTGGTTGTTTTTAATTTCAAATCCTGTTAAAGGAAAAACTTGCATGCTCTGACAATAAGCAAAAATTAGAGCTAGGCCCACAGCCTTAGCCAGAGGTGGCATGACCTGAACTCAAAACCATTAATGGAGGACCTTAACAGCAGGGAATGGAAACAGAAGCAGAGAATGCCTTTCATTCTGGGTGATGTTGGGGAAACATGTGAGCCTGCCTTGCCCTTTCTATCCATGGGGACACTGAAAATAGAACCATAAAATGTCCCCCAAGAGGTATAATCAGGCAGAGTGACTTGCAAAGACAATAAATACTCCATACATGCTTGAACTACATAAAATATCAAAAGATTTCATGAGAATAAGGAGTTTTCAAAAACACATTAACAAAAGTGTATGAAAAGAAGTCCATCGGAAGTTAACTTTAAGAACAAACCAAATCAAATTTGAGGCCCCAATTCCTGATGCTTGAAGCTCATCCACTTCTCCTCTCCCCCAGCCCCCTCCTATACACCCCCTGACTCACACACACACACACACACACACACATACACACCTCAACACACTCACATGCAACCTGAGAACCCTAAAGCAAAAACAACAAAGTCCTAACCAAGGAGGAATTCATCCCCCTTGCTCCAATGTAATTTCAAGCATTTCAAGAACCCCAGGCATCTCCAAACTTCTAGTCACTTGTGGCATTTAGCTCTATCCCTTCCTGAGAATCATTGGGGAAGACAATCTGATTACACGAGAAACTCTTCCAAAAGTTTGTAGCCAATAAACTCATTTCTATTTTGACTCCTGCCCTCTGGACAGTTAGGAGAAACTTGGCATTATTCATAGATTTTCTTTTAAAGCTACTGAAGGTAGTTAATGAGGCTAATTTAGCCCCTTGTGTGGTTCTTCTCTTGAAGCAGCCTGGAAAAAAACCAAAAATCACATGGGCTCCCAAATTAAACAGTGTACCCATGTGCTGACCAGTGGGGATCCAGTAAGAGCAGAAATAACAGGGTTAGGTTTTAATAGTCACTGAGAAGGGACAAAGATTCATGAATGTGTTGCCTAGCTAACACTGGATATTTATAAAGACAATAATAGTACAAAAGACTTCAAGATATTAATATAGTTATCTTTATTTTTGTTTGACAGGGTTTTTTTTGACAGTTTACTAATGAGATTATTAAAAGTAGAATAATTACATAGACAAAAAATGTTCATCATTTCCTATGGGAAGCCTTGCTATTCAGAACACAGACCCTAACCCAGACAGCATCATCCAACTGTTGTCAACCACACTTAGTGCAAGTTAAGAAAAAGGAAGAAAATGAACAGCCCTATTCATTCATTCAACAGTCATTTAAATGCTAGTATCCTACAGATAGGTGGAATGTCTTCCCTCGAAGAGCTCACAAGACTGATATTGTCTTCAGGTGAACAAGTCT